CTGGGCTCAGGAGACGGGACACGGGGCAGCTCATGTGGGAAAAGCAGGGCTCTGTGGTCCTGGTCACAAGGAGATACCTGTGTGGGATTGGGTGTTCCTGGCTCCCGTGCAGGATTCACCAGAGACAGAGTGGGGGGCAGAAGAGGTGGGCGGACTGAAACACACTGCTGAGGGGAGCAGCGGGCGAGTCAAGAGAGGTCTGCTGCACCATGTGGGCTGCTCCCTGGCCCGGAACTCATACTGTCCGGGAACTCAGGGCTTAGCTGTAATAAAGCTAAGACTTAACCCCTAGGCCACCAGGGAGGCCCCCTTACTGCTTCCTAATTTTTTAAATTTAATTTTTAAAAATTTTATATATTTTTTATATTTATATATATTTTATATATATTTTATTTTACATACATCATTTTTCATTTTTGTGCAATGTCTGCATTTTCATCTTGGTTATAGTCCCCATACAATTCCCACCACCCTTGTTTTGAGTTTACGCCCTTCTCCCCGCCTCTCCACCCCGTAGTGTGTCTCTGGTTTACAGTTGCTTGTTGATTTTGATTTTTACTTTATTATAATTAGTCTTTTTCCTGGTCCCTTATTTAGGTTTTCTAAATTCCTGCTATGAGTGAGACCAAAAAAGCCGCTGTTGTTATGGGATGTAAACAAATTTCTGGGGCTCTTTGTTAGCTCTGGAGAATATGTGTGTGAGTAGAAACTATTGATTTCTCATCAGAAGGACACACTATAATCCAGAAGCTCTGCTGAGAGGCAGGGTAGTGAATCCTCTGGGCTGCTACTCACCTTGGCTGATGCCTGCTCTGGGGATTGGCACTAGGAGTCCCTCTTGCTCCTCTTGGCTCAGGGGGGGATTGTTTTCCCAGGTGTGACTGAGGCAGGGCACCTCATGTGAGCTGGGCTGGGGTGAAGCTGAGACCTCCTGCAAAGGACTAGGTGGCTCAGGCACCCTCAGGAAGTGCTACAGGTCCATGCTGAACCTCCTGACTGCCTGAGAAGGTGAAGGCTCTGGGATCTGAGCTATGGCCATGAGGAGGAAAACTGAGGCAGGAGCACAAGACAGCCCGCTCCACTCTGAATGTGCCACCTGGGAAATCTGCAAGAAGGAAGACTCCTAGGTTCCACTAATTTGGGGTTCCCCTTGGGTACCTGCTTAATCTCAGGCTGGAAGGGTTCAGGGGTCCTGCAGGACACATCCCTGGCTGTGCCATACCCTGATGCAAAATCTACGGTTCCCACTGTCTGCAGGGTACAGCCAAGACCCCTTAGGCTAGCATTCAAGGCCTACCCTATTCCAGCCCCCACGATCACTCCACTCTCCTGTTTTCCCTTGTCTCCTGAAGGCCAGCTATAGCATCTTCCTCCAGCCCCCAGAAATAGCTCCCTCCTCCTCATATAAAACCTGCCGCACTGTGCTGTACTCATGGCTACCTCGCCGCCCTCTAGGCCCCCAAGAGTCTTGGCTCTAGGCTCTGACACAGGCCTTGCCACTGGCTGGCATTTATAAGCGAATCTAGCGGCTGAATCGCTCTGTCTGCCATCTGGACGCCCTGCGTGTGTGGGTGACTCGTTGTTTCCTGGGGAATGTGAGCAGCTTCTCTTCTCACTTGGCCCCAGGCTAGAGGGGTACATTTACTTTATCAAATATTATTCTGATGCTCAAGGCATCCTTGATGTTTGCAAGTCAGAAAAGTTTAATTACATGTGTCATTAGGATGGCATTCTGTAATAGCTCTGTGACTGAATTCATTAACAGAATTCTTAACAGATAAGACAAGACAAATTAATATTTTGTTGCCCATGAAAGCTTCTCATTAAGACAGTAGTGAAAAAGTGATTAATATTTTGTTGCCAATCAAGATGTCTCATCCAAATGACAAAGAAAGGAGGCCCACACCTCTGCTGGCTCTCTTATCTTGCGGCCTTGGGTTTGGGGAGCCGATCAGCTCCCCCATTTGTGAGGTGTTTCTGCGCCAGTGGCTAATTACTACACTGGTGAGCAGTGACTATTTTATCTCTGACTGTGGCAGGCGGGGCCAGGTGCAGACATGCCGCAGACTGAGGGACTTTAGGACCCATCGACCCCTCCTGAGTCTTGCTCCATAGGGCCTTCCCTTCTGGGTTCTTCCCCCCTGACCTATCCCTGCTTCAAATATGCCCCCCAATCCTGAAGAGCTGGCGCTACCCAGTTGCTGCCTGACTTTGTCCCAGGGCTGCCTCTGCACTGTCCCCATGCAGCTTACGAACACCCGGTGTGGCTGGGCAGGCCCCCCGTGCTTCACATACACTCAGCAAGAAAATGCCCAGTGGGTAGGATGTGGCCACCTCCCTGTCCACACAGCCTCAGGGAAGCTAAACAGCTTACTCGAGGCTGCAGGAGGGGGCAGGTCAGTGCCCCTGTCCCCAGGTGAGTCGAGGCAGACAGGGACAGTGTTGTTCTATCCCTGACTAAGGGCAGCAGGGGCTGTCCAGGGTCACATCTGCCTGACTGCAGAGCCTCACTGACTGCTGCTGCCTGTACACTGGGGACTCGGGCTGAAAGGTGTTGAGAATGCTCGGCAGCAGGACAATGACTGCACAAATGATAATAGGAAGAATAGCAACAGTGAGAATGAGAGTGGAAATAGCGTGGAACACTCTAGACCAAGAGCTTCATGTGTATCGTCTCATTTAATCCTCACTATAACCCTAGAAGCCTGGAGCTATTATTTACTCCACTTTACAGATGGAGGCGCTGAGGCTAAGAGAAGTCAAGTGGCTTTCCAATGTGACTCAACTCGTAAGTGGGAGAGTTCCAGGCCCCTTGGACCCTGGAGCCTATGCCCCTCATTGGCAGATGGTACTGCCTCCCACTGCCCCAACACTGAGGCGTCAGAGGCGTGTTTGTGTGTGTTTGTGTATGTTTGTGTGTGTTGTGGTTTCTGGCGTGTATCAGGCGAGGACCCCTGTAGAGCTTGGCTCTGTCCTGTGTCCTCATGTGAGGGTTTCTGGGGAGCACAGGGCCTGTTTGTGGGCTGCTGACTTGACCATGAACAGCAAGTGCTTCATAGGCGGTAACGAGAGCCCATTAATCTCTGGTTGTACCCATAATTACCCAAATTGCTGACCTCACTGTGAAAGGGAGAAATGCAATTGAGTTGGTGCTGGAGGCATGTTTGAGGGAGGGGGAAAAACACTCTAAGCAACTTAATTAACTGATGGCAAGTGCATTAAGAAGAGTTCTTCTTTTGCCTTTATTCTTGATGGCTTTAAATAGAGCATCAAGAAGTGCATGTGGATGCTCAGAGTGACGCAGGCAGACCTGTCCTAGTTCTGCATCAATCACCATGCGCGCACGCACACGCACATACACACACACACACACACACTCACGCCCCTCTCAGAGGACACTGCCTTCCCTTGCTAAGAGTGTAGGCAAGTCTTGGACAAAGGACACCCCCCTAAGCATCGGCTGATCAAGCATCCACAGGGTTGTGCTGGCACTGGATTCAGAGATAGAGAGGACACAGGAGATGCCCCCCACAGTAGGGAAGTTGTGAGGAAACAATCCTGCCTGGTGTGATTAGGGTGAGGGAAGTGCACCCCTGCCCAGTTCTGCCCAGAGTAGAACCTCCAGAGTGGCCCCCTCTTGCCATCTGCTCCCCTCATGACCACCAGGGTGCAGCCAAAGGGGCCCAGAGAATAGCACCGTCCCAACGTTTGTGGTTCCTGCAGAATTTCATGCTGGGATCCTCTCCCGACAAGGCATTCTCAGAGGGATTGCCAAGGTCATGGGGCTTATCTGCATTGCTGACCATGCTCCTGTTTGAGCTTGCCTACCTCTAAGGATGGGGAACTCACTGCTTTCTGTGATGATGACTCACTCCATGGGGGCCAGATCTGATGGCTGGAATGGCATTCCATTTAAGCAATGTGGTAATCTCTTTTTGGGGTATGCCCTGACCCTGTGCTAGTCCAATTCATGGGGTCACTGGCCAGCTCCCCCTGCCCTAAGCCAAGGAGATCAGGGCCGGCCCTATTTTACCTGCAATTCTCTTACCCTAGCTTAAAACCTGTCAAACGTCATGACAGCATCCTACACAGATGATTCATTGCCTTCTCACATGAACTTCTGGAATACTATCTCTTCCCTTATGCCAAACCAGGGCCAATAAATATACTTGAATTATTCCCCTTATTTTTCAAGTCCAGTGGAAGGGAGGTACTGCCAATGCTGCTTTTCTAATAGATTAATTTATTGAGGATCAGAGGCTTGAGAAATTGCTCAGAGCTATAAAGTCAGTGTGGGGTGATGCTGGGACTCCAGACCAGGTTGCCTGAGTCCTCAGAATCCAGAAGTATCCCTGTTGGTCATGTTAGGCTCTGTGAGCTTAGCTGATTTCTTCCTCCACACAAGTCATCAAAGCCACATTTCCTCACCCAGCAAACAAGGCCCCCAGGGCAGGTCCCCTCTGGCCTCATCTCTTTTCCTTTCATCACCTGGCTTCTGCCCCAGCCTATCCAGGCCAGCAGCCCGCCCCTGCCCTCCACAGGGAATACCCTAACCCTACATGCAGCTGCCTATGTCCACCTCTGCTTTAGGATTCAGAGTCTCCCTGGGTCCCCCAACAGCAGCTCTTCCCGCTCTGGAGCTGCCCGCCTGGCGGTGCTGTATGGGCTTGTGGGCCTCCCTTTGCGCTGGTAGGCTTGTGCATGGCCTACTCCTCTCACTCCCACCTCTGCTGATGTGGCCCAGACGGAGACCCCCTGCCCTGGCGCTGGCCTCCCAGGCAGCACACCCTTCCTTATTGTGGGTCTGATTGGCAGACTCACTCTATCTCCGAGGGCGCTGGGTCTAGGATTTCTGGTCCCCTAGTCATCATAGAGCAGATGGAAGGGACCCAAAGTGGCATGAGTCAAAGAAGTCCTGTGACCCTGCCACTGCCATGTGGCGTCTTGCGCACTTAGTTCCCGGGCATCTGTGGGCACCAAGTCAGTCCCAGGGGACTTACATTGATGTCTTCCAAGTCCAGGAAGTTCAGGGCGAGCCCGTTGCGCTTCCAGACGATGGGAGGCCGCAGGTCCCCGCGGACGGCGCAGGTCAGCACCGTGCTCAGCCCCACGGTCACCGTGGCCACACTGACCCTCTCCTCGGGGGCGAGGCTGAGCTGAACCACCTCTGCAGGGGAAAAGGAGAAGGCCATCAGGTGCAGGCCTGGGGCTAGCTAGAGTCTTCATTGGACAGTAACCCGCCATGGGGATTTACGGCCGGGCAGCACTTAGACTTGTGGAAACGGTCCATTCTCCAGCTGGATTTCTGGAAGAGAGGCTGTGACTCACATCAAATGCTGAAAGGCTTGTGCAAGTCAAAACAGCTCAGGGAGCATAGGGGAAGCATCTGGGCTATGGATGAGTCCAGTCCAGCATCTGGGCTGCCAGAGCCCAGGGAGCCAGAAGTGGGGTGCCCTGCCCCATGCTCCTGGGCCTAATGATGTCTGAGCCTTGCTAGCTGCAGTCAAGGTCTGCTAGGTGAGCCGACGGGTGAGCCTTCAGGTTCCTCATCCACCTGGGGGCGCTTAAAGGTTGCACTGTCTGAAGGCTGGTGAATGAACTGGCTGACCTTTGAAGGTTTGTTTCTGTCTAAGGTTTCTCTGAACTTGGCTTTGGATTTCTGTTCAGCGGCCATGCGCTATCGTCTTTAATTTTTTGAAGTGTACTTCAGGCTAGAGAAATTATTAATCCTTGCCATTTTATACTTGATAACTGGCATTATGACTGATCATTCTTCAAGCAAATGGGAAGGGTCTAAAATATTTCCCTGCAATCATGGGCTTTTTGAAATTCTCAGGATTGATGAAAAGATTAATCAAACTCAGGCTATTCAAATGCCAAAATGGGATCAGGCTGGGAGGGAGTAGCCCATTGATGGGACTGCCTCACCCCTAGGATTCCCCCAAATTTGGAACTCAGGGTTTGCAGCAGCAGCCAACAGAGGTGTGAGCCAAGGACGTGGACTGGCCCTGGGTACCAGCATGTGCCAGGAGCCCTCGTTACTCTTCCCACTGTTGGGACTTTGGGGGTCCTGACAGGTGCAGAGTTGGGAACTGCGCTCTGTGACTTAGCTGGACACTTACGAGCTGCACCCTGCAGTGTATCTGCTCTCACCCCCTTGCCAGTGTGCATGCAGAGGGGAAGGGCAGGTGTGCTGCCCCCAGAGCAAGTAAGGACACTGGAACAGGAATGAGTGTCCCTGAGTAGTAAAGGTCACCCCTTTTATAAACACCCAAATGGCCCGACCCTGGATCCAGGAAGATGAACAAGATCTACAATAGGTGCTTCATCAGTGCTTGTTGGATGGATGGATGAAAAATGGAGAAAATGGAAATAAAGAAAGAGAGGAGCCAAGAGGCCAGGGGAGAGGGGACAATCATACGCAGGACAAATGGCACTCCTGGTGAAGGAGCCACAAGGGGAGAGATAAGCACCGAGTGATTGATGCAGACGCAGCTGGCATAATATTTTACAAACATTAAAGTGATGCATTTCTAGTTGCCTCTTAAATCACGTTCTGCTCGCTGCCCTCCCACCCCTGAGTCATGAGGCTTATTGCTCAGGGCAGGAGAAGGCACTAACCCTCAAGCTAGCAGGGTGTGGTGATTCAGAGGGGGTAGAGAGGGGGAGGCCGAGGGGGGAACTTGCTAAAATTGTTTTATTCCTACTGTGCTCTGCTGGCCCAAACCCAGAGCACCCCGAGTATAGAGGATATCCCTCGTCCTCATCTCGGGGCTCCCCTGGGCCCTGCAGCTCTGTAGAAGTAGAAAGGGGGATGGAGTGCTCCATCCCCCTCTCAGGGGAGTGTGGGGTGGTTAAGTGTGTGTCTTGAAAATCACAGAACTCTGACTGCAAGGCTGAGGCTACCAGAGGGGAGGGGAGCAGGTGAGGAGGAGGGGGCAGAGAGGGCCCCACAGGAATTTAGCACAGAGGCTGCAGCCCCTCACTTTCCCCATCCAGTAACTCTTAAAAAAAAAAAAAAACAACTCACATGCCAAAGCAAAGTGTCTCAAACCCTATCAGTTTGGACCCCAATCTCACACCTGGCACCGCCAGTTGTAAAAGCAAAACTTCTCCCGGCTCACTTCCCCAACAGGACGTTAAGGCCCAGTGGTCTCGGTAAACAAAATTGGTCAGAGCCTGTTCAGCATCCCGCCTGTGAGCCCTGCCCCCTCAAACTAAACAAGTATTTATAGCAGCAGCCTTGAGATCCGCCGCACGATTCTCCTCTGCATCTGCCCACACGCACTCTAGAGCGCCTCCTCTCACCTACGGTAAAGCTGCATTGCTAACCCACCTACGATTCCTGCACGAACTCTTCCTGCACAGAAGCCACGGATCTCTGGGGTCCCTGGGTGCCTCCAGCCCCATCACTTGGTGGAGGACTAGGGGCACCTTGGTTGTGGCAGAAGAGATGTGAACTCAGATACATGGTGTTGTATGCCCACGTTACCTCGGTACAAAGCAATACAAAGAAAAAAGTGCTTCTAGAAGCCAGGGGGCTCCAGGAGGAGGCTGAGCATCCCAAGGGCTGCTACCCCTCCCCACTTGGGGCCACCACACCTCAGACCACCCAGCTAGCCAGGGCCTGAGATGATCTGCCAGAGCCCCTCACCTCCCAGTGGTGTAGTGGGGGAGGGGGCCTAGAGGCTCCTGGCTGCCCTCCAACTTGTCTGTTAGGTGCTCTATATCTCTGTGCCTGAGGACTGCACGGCACTGCGAGACCCAGGCATGAGGGGAAGGGCTCCGGAACTTGGGGGTGTGTGGAGTGGAGTCAGCTGGGGGCTGCTGGAGGCTGAGCTGCAGGGGACATCGGACGCCCTCAGCCTGAGAGGCCAGACAAAGCGCGCAGGTGGGGCAGGCCTCAGTGTGAGTGCCTAAGACGGGGTGATGGGTAGAGGGCTCACAGCTGCAGCCTGAGGGGGTGGGCAGAGGCTGGCAGTGGGCTTCCTGCCACATTCAGAAACCAGCTTGGGGAGCAGCTGGGTAGAGGTGAAGACTTTTTCTTAGATTAGGACATTACTTACACTGACTGTTAAAAGAATCAGCTCTACTAAGCTTTACCATGGATTGAACATTTAGTCGCTTTTTTTCTCCCACTGGCTGATGGGGGGGCGTGTGGAGAATTCTGAATGTTACAAAAGGAACCTGCCAAGTGTGAGCTCTAGTGGGACTATAAGGAAGAGACCAGCTGGGCAGTCAGGAAGGGGCACTCGGGGGAGGCAGGACACCCCTGGGCCCTAGGGCATCCTCTCCTCAAGGAACATTATATCTCAGGGGGCAGCTGGTCCAAACACAGCGGCTCCTACACCTCAGGCTGATAGAGACCCTGGTGGCGAGGTGGGCACTGGGCTTTAACAAGCATCTAAGGGGTTCTGTGGTACCCAGGGGCCTGAGAACACTGCCTTAAAAGATGGCCGCTGGGGAGGTTCAGGGTGGACGCATGGGGGAGTGGAGGGTGGGAGGGTGGGGCAGTGTGACTGGCTGAAGAGCCCCAATTACCGTGCTAGCAGCCTGTACCCTAATTTGGAACATAAGACCTCTGTGAGACAGTGGATCCCCTTCTCTGTGTGGACCTACACACTTGCAGATTTCAAACAGTTTTAGCACAACGTCTGGAGACGCCTGTAGCCCAGGGCTAAAAACAAATGCACAAACACCCGAGTGGGGAGGCTGTGGGTGCTGGTTCCACTGCCTTCCGGAGCGCAGCCCTGATCACTTGTGAGTCTGGAGACGTGCATTTTGCGCAGGGAAGACTTACCCCGAATTAGAATGCACGACACCGCCACAACCATCATCATTCTGCTCCTGTCAGCTACACAAATATTAACCAAACTGCAAATATTTGGATCATTTAAAGTTTAATTAAATGAATGTTTTATTGGATTTAATTCATGTCAATATTCCCTAGCTCCTTTTAAAATTCTGAACAGATTAATGGCAACCGAACCTCTCCTTACTCCCAGTTATTTACTGTTCCGCAAGCCATCCCCTGCAGACCCACTTCCCTGCTAAGGGACCTCCTGGGGTGATTTCTCTGGCGATGAGCCATGAGGCAGCCTCACTGGCTGGGGCTCAAGCAAACCGGGCAGAGGCCAGACTGTGGCTCTGGACACCTGGCCTCTCGCCTGGCTGTGCTGGTATGTGGCCGGTGACCTTGGGTAGGTCCCTTCCTGTCCCCTGGCCTCCGTTGAGTGAAAGAGTAAGTGAAGGTTTGAGTTAAAAGAGGTGGGGGTGGGGTCACAGACTTTTGTGCTCTGCACCTCTGAGCCAATGGTTCTGAGTGCATGTCCCTGTGCTCAGAGTGGCTGGGGCAGTGAGGGGGCTGCACTGGGGCAGCCTGACAGCAGGCGAGAGTGTGTCTGTAGAAAGAGGCTGGTGTCCTCGGAAAGTGAGGGCTGGGCTGGGGGTCACAGCAGCTTCTCTGGCACTGCTGTCAGAGGTCTGCACACCTCCCCTCTCGCACTGGAAGGTTGTGTGGAGAGCAGCGGATTCCAGGAGCACGATTGTCAGAGTCAGATATTCCTGGAGCACGAGGAGGCGAGGTGTCCCTCTCAGGCTCCCTTGCTGGGCTGTTTGGCACAAAGGAGGTGGCTGGGCCAATGGCAGGCTCCAACTGTCACTCTCGGGACCCTTCTCGGCAGAGCACGAACACCCTTGGTTTTGGAGACACATGTGTCGGGGCAAACCCCAGCCCTCACCATCCTCCCTGCCCTCATGCTTGTTCTGCTCCATGGGGCTTGGAGAAAAGGGGTGCACAGGGCACTGACAGGCCCCGCACACACAGGCTAACAAAGCCCTTCCTGAAAACAGGAGGCCATAACATTGCAGTCCCTAGAGAGTTGGGTCTTAGTTCTCACTGCAGCTTTCCCTCCATCAGGCGCTATTTCTCACACCGACTTGAACTCGATGAGACACTCATAAACCCATCAGCACCCTCTCAACCCAGATCCCGGGGCTCCGCAGCCACAGAAATTAAATTTCTCAAATTTTTGTCAAGTTGGTGTTAGTTTGCTGATGTTAGAGAGGTACTAATGGAACACATTCCAACCTGGACATTTGCCATTTTTCAACGATGCTCTTGGTGAGAAGACCCTGTCAAAAGCTCAATCAACCTGCTCACATGTC